TGTAGTAAGTAAATAAACTGACCTAGAATAAATAAACAACTACTCTCTCTCATAGGTTATACCTTTCAGAACCTTCAAACCGTCTGGACGACTGATGACATCTCTTAGAACCCTAGAATCTGCAGTTGATCCCTCCCAACCAGGCAAGACGAAAATAAACTGACCATCTTGAGAACAAACCACTAAAACATTAGTTGCTATCTCACTCTTTCTAGTCCGGTATCTGGCCTTATCCGCTTGTAAGGGATTAATCTTTATGTGTGTCCCATCAAGTGCTCCCAAACAATTCTACAATTCAATTTAGACTATTAGTTACACCGACACAGGCTAGGTTCATGAATTATAACAGTACCTGGACTAGTAACTTACCTTGAACCACTTCCACTTATCATCGGTCGAGTTTTCCGGGATTGGCTCAGGTCATTTTAGTAGAACATTATGACAACGTAACACTGCAAGCAAAACATTAGAGAACTGCCTACTAATAGTTTCTCCTGATCTCATGAATTGTCTTTTAATTATCCTGTTCTTGACATCGTGAGCCAAAATGTGAAGAAATATTGCAACCATCTCCTCTACACCCATATACTGCGTCGGTTGAAGTTGACCAACGGTTTTAAGCAACCCACACAAGTTATGAAAAGACCTCCGGTCCATCCTTGTATTCTCTATACATGCCGTGTCAATTATGTGAACAATCCTAAGGAAGTTTACTTCCTTTACTCTAGCCCTCTCACGATGGTCCAATGAGACTCTCCTGCGTCTATTTCTGCGGTTTTCAGCGTAACAAAACAGCACATATACTGACAAACATGTTAGTCAGTTGATGCAAAGACTCCAAATGAGTAATGAGTACGAGTAACACACTAAAGTCCATTCCATTGTCGATGTCCATTATCTATCACGTGAAGGACAAAAAGATTCAGTTAAGTAATTACCAAAAAAATAAATGTCTTACCCATAGTATTGAAGATAAGGAACTATACATTGCGTAACATGATCTTTTTATAATAACCAAAAAAAAAAATGATCTTACGCCTTTACTGCATTACCGTAACAACAAAACTTATACAGTGGTATAGGTGTATGAGCAATCATATACTTTACCAATTTAGTCTGTTTTATAAAACAACCACTTCATCGAATAACTCAAGCCGACAAATGATGACCCTTTTAAAATTTTATAATAAATGTCTCTAACATTGTAATATTGAAACCACTCTTAACTGTAAATATTAATATCAATAATAAAAAAACAATTAAATACAAAATAGTGTATTTATTTCTACACAATTGTATCATTGATAAGTTATACAACATACCTATTTGCAGTGATCATGATTGACAAGTCTGCAAACGAGACTTATGGCAATGAAAGGATTAAAATTTTAATTGTCATATCTAAAAAAAAAATCCCATTAAAATGTAAATTAAATAACAAATAGAGTGAGAGAGAAACTACCAAGTAAATTGAAGGCATAGATTATTGCACGCTATTAGTTTTTTTGACTAGCTATAAAAGTCATAATTATGTATTCTTCTACCAAATAAATATTGAAAGTTAAGCTAAATCTCTACACAGAATGTGAGCTAATAGGTAGAGGATGTTGCTCTGTTTGACCAACTGCTAATTAATTTGGCTCTATAGTGAGCTAACTTTTACTTTGACTGTTGGGGGTAGGTGACGTTTTCCAAATTCAAAATTAGTAAAATACTAATCCATCTATTTCTACTCTAATGTGTTGACTTCAATAGAGGATGGTTGTGGTTTCAATCCATCTTTTTCAGCTCATACAATTTGTGAAACCTACAAATCAAGGAACTAGCACCCTGGGTAATAATTCAACAAGCCATTGCTGAAGTCAAGTTGGTTAATAGCTAGAATTCAAGATGGCATTTTCGGGAGAAAGAATAATGTAATGGTACCATGTTCTGGTATCTTTCATATATCAGAAAGTGATTATATTGAGAATCATGTAATGGTACCATTCTATTGACACAAATCAGGCAATAGAAGTGAAAAAAATGGAAAAAATGCTATCCAAAAAAATAAAAACATATACATGATTTGATGAAATCGGATTACTATGCCACAAAAAACCATACTTTCAACCCAACAAGAATGAATCTCACAAAATCTGGAACAAAAAAATCAAAAAAAAAAAAATTCAGAACCCACGAGCCAATACCAATAGAAAGATCAGACGACAAGAAGAAAGAAAAAACCTTAATGATGGAAGGGAAATAAAGTCAAGATGTGTTGCGGATGAGGAAGGGAAATGATGGAAGAGAGAAGATGAGTAAAATGATGGAAGCAAACCTTCTGATCTAAACCACCGTGCAAGGGCGTTTTCTTCTGGGAAGGTCGTGTGCAGTCGTCCTCTTCAACCCACGCTTCTAAAGTGCAGTGACCAATGCCAGCTTCTGACCAAAGCAAAGAAGAAAATATCTTATCATCGAGGAGGGTATAATTGGAGTCAAAAAATTGTGTGAGCAGTGCATTGTCTGGGTTTTTCAAAAAAACCATCCTCACATTCGCTTTCTCAACAGTAAGAAATGCTTTCTTTCTGATCAAAAGTTTAAAAACCCATGCAAATGACATTGATGGGAATTTGGTAAAAATCTGATGAAACAAACGTTGTGAAACTGAAAACTATATTTCGTTTGTATAGGATTCTGACCAAAAGCTTGGAACCAAACACCCCCTTAGAGTTTAGCGTGTGTCTTTTTAAAGTACATAGTTATAATATGAAAAAAAAATCTTTTTATATCTACCGACAAGTTTTGAAAGAGAAAAAAAATTAATATTATAATTATATATTTCTCGAAATATATAATTAATATATTTCTCGAAATATATAATTATAAAGGGTAAAATAATATAAGTTTATATCCTTTAAAAAATATAATTTTTCATTATATTCTTACGTGTAATTAAGTAATTTAACAACCTTCAAATGGCGTATTCTATTTTTCTGATTGAAACCATTAAAAACTAGAAAAGATTAACTCTACTCAAAATGTGACTTAGAGTTTTTTAAACAAAAAATCAAACAAGCAAAATTAGTTCAGAATTATTTAAGATAGACTAGTGTTATAAATTCATGTTATTTTCTAACTAGCTCTCATGTATTCTTAATTTGATTAATATTTATCTTAAATTAGTTCTAAGGACCTAACTAAATTTAAGTTTTGAATATTGAGATAGAAACAAAACATGAGGGAGAAAGAAAGAATAAAATAGATAAGAGACACTCTAAAGCAAATTTGGTTTTAAAAAAACACTGAGTTAGATTTCTCTAAATTCAGGTTACTAAATAAAAGTTGACAAGTGTTATATCAAAATATTACTTTTCACAAGCTTTTTATACCTTATTTCTTCTTTTGTGATCCAAACATAAAAAAATACAACTCTTCCATTTCTTCTTTTATTTCTTTTTTCATTTCACATAGGCAATTGTGGAATAATGACCTAAATGTAACATTTTCCCAAAAAAATTTCTCAAAAGCCATGCGAATAATACCTTTATTAAATTGCCACGCGTTCAAACTCGCTACAACTAATAACCAATTTGGTTATGCCATATGGCATGTTCTCATTAGTGTACCAAACTCGCTAACATGGATAGCAAGTTTCGTAGCCTAAGATTTCATGCCTCGTGGCACACTTTTGCAGGAAAAGGCTGACTGTTTTGACCACTAAACTTGTTATCACTGATAGTGAGTTTGGTATGCTAATGGGAACGTGCTACGTGGCCTAACCAAACTTGCTACCAGTCGTAATGAGTTTGGATATGTGGCATTTAAGCAATTTTTTAAAAAAAAACGTGGCAATTTGGTCGATGCCTTGACAATTATGGTACTTTCTTATCGCATTAATCAATTAAATTTAAATGTGTTAATGACAGGCTATACTAAGAGATAGAGACATGATTTGTTCAGGGGCTTAATCTAAACATAATTTGAAGTCATCATATATTTTACTTTTCCATTTTCACTTATACCAAGCACACTGCTTGACAAGATAGCCATAAGAAACATCTGAACCATACATAAATAGATTTATAGTGATGAGAGACAAGCAGAGAGAGAAAGGGGCAAAAGCACCATACAACAGCAATGGGGCAAAAGAATTGCCCAGCTAATGCAGTCAAATGCGCATTTAACCAGTATAAGAGCAGTCTTGCACATGTCAAATATGTGACTTTCTGTAGAGGTGTTCATGGGTCGAACCAAATCGCATTTTTTGAAAAACTGAACCGAATTAGTTTAAACGGTTCGATTCAAAAATGGTTCAGTTTGGAAGTGGATCGGTTGGAAACGGTTCGGTTCGGTTTGGAATCGATTTGGGTCGACCCTATTCTGAAAAGAAAAGAAAATTTAAAAATTTAAAAAATAAAGTAAAAAAAAATCAATTTGGTTCAGTTCGAAAACAGTTCGGTTCTTAAACTGAAACCGGTTCAGTTCATGAATGATTCTTTAAAAATTGGTTCGGTTCATGAATTGGTTTTTAAATACCGTTTATTTTAAGTGCAGTTCAATTCGGTTCTATTTTTTGGGTTATTTTGCACATCCTTACTTTCTACCACGTCAACAAGTCTCACATGAAAAAGGTGCACCACACTCTTATATCAGTCCACACATCCTAGGTACAAGATTTAGCGCCACGTAGGGAGTCCTGCACTTGACTGGCTATGATGCACCAGCACTTCAAAAAACCTGACATGTCGTGTCCGACACTCCCTCACACTCTAACACGTATTGCAGAGACTCAAAAATAGGTTCAAAGTTTGCATTTTTAGTTCCAACTATTAGATTCATTGAATTAAGATTACCATTTTATTGAGTTTAATATAAATATTTGTGATATCTTATGTTTCTTTGTAAAATTAATGGATATTATAAGTTTAACTTATTTTTTTTGTTAAATTATAATTAAAAAGAACACACTTCTTTTTTTGACATTGATTTGTAAATGAATGAATCAATGGCTAAACACACATAATTGTTCTCCTTTGAGCCAAAATGCCATATGGCACAAAAATTTTCTCCATACATATTTCGTTCCTCTGCCGCAGGGGAAGCAATAATAGAAAAAACTAATAGGCATTCTCCATATGAGCTTGCTTTCTGTTTGCCTGACTGCCAAACTCATTAGTCATAAACTTTTGAAGGAACAGAACCATGGAAAAGGATATAAGGTCGAAATTATTCAGACGACACCCTAACTGAAGCGAGACTAACGGGCCTGCAATACATGATATTGGTATTCTCCCAAAGCCCATATGGGGAATATGTTCCTGTATGCAGCGTATGTGATCATGCAATTCTTGTTGAAGACTCCCATTATTTCCTGAATTGATAGAAAATAAGATGATTTAAATGATTCATTTTTGGCATTTAGATGATCTAAACACTTCATGACGTGGACTATACACATGTAAAGAGGGAATAAAAACCAAGTTATATGGTGGTCTTCAATACCTCTTGCGGAAAGTCACCGTTCTCCATTTGAGAATTTATCAAGCACACAGCTGCACGGTGCAGTGGTGTCGGATCTCTCTTAGCCTGATTATTACAAAAGGAATGAGAACATGACAAGAAGTCCAATCTGGACATCACTTTTTCTATTCTGCCTTTCTTCGGCAGAATAAGGGTTTTGTGCAAATGAATAAAACTGGCAAAAAGTAACTGTCTTACAATAAATAAAAAATTGATTTTGTGCAATAATAAACTAATCAATATATTGGCAGCATTACAAAATTAGAAAACTTTGCTTTATACCTGTCCAGCACCTATGAGAGCCAGCATAGCCCACCCTGTGTTTACTACATGAGACCTGTTGCTTTCCAGATTTGAATACACCTGAACAAGAGACAACGCTAGAAAGATGACTCTAGACATCTCAGCATTTAGATTGCCAAATGTAATAAGTACACTCACTCAGGGTTAATTTAAAAACTAAATACAAAAGTACATATCTATTAAGAAAAATAAAAATACAAAAGTACATTTCCTGCAATCACCTGAACCAATTTTGTCTATCTTCTTGAATTATGCTTTCCCTTGATATTTTCTTTACAAGTCTCTTAACATACTTGATTCCATCTCTCTTAGAATAAATATATGAAATTTATATCTCATGCAGAAAAATTGAGTAAAACAAATTGTAAAATTCTGAATCCCCTGATGCTATTGATTTCATAGTGTGCTTGGACAGGTCAGAGATATCCAACTACACAGGTATAAATGTCACTCGTTGGCAACTTTCTTCATGTCAAGCCTTTCATTTGATGGCACCATGCCAACTAGGCAGATATTGACATCCTATGGGAGTGCTCAAGCCAGGCAAGTTTAAACAATGGACTCTTTAAGGGATTGGTATTCTTGCTATTATTACTTGTCCAAACATGGTGGTTTCTTGATTTAAATCCAATATCACTTTTGCACACTCTTTTTACACCCCGATGCTTCTAATCATTGTAATCATGTTTATGCATGCACGTGAAGCCATGAGCACATATATGTTCCAAGGTATTTAAAAAAAAAAGCACAGGTAAGAAAAGACTCTGACAAGCAGGTGCTTATTATCGATTCAGCAGAATTAAAAAAATTGATATTGACATTAGTAACAGCAAACTTGACCTTGTTCTGACATGACAGATAACTCTCTCCCCAGCCACCTGAAGGGAGCTGCTTAGACAGCAGAAATTCACAAGCTTTACGAATGCTTGAGCAATTACTGAAACTCTTTCCAGCAGCAGTCAGACCTTTTACCCCAAACCAAACACCATATGTGAAGCAAACCCCCCAAGAACCATACCTGTTTAACAGTTTGAGTGGTTAGAGGCTACTAACCTAAGAAAGTTCAATTTGAAGCAGAAATAGAAGCAGACAGAAAAATGAAAAGATCAAACTTGAGATGCATGAATACATAAACAAAAATATCTTGAACATTAAATATAAAATCAATAGAAAAGTTTATGGAAAAATGCAGTTTCGCAAAAGAGAGGAACAAACCATGAACCATCTGAAGCTTGTACTTTTTCAATAAAGGAAGCAGCTTTTTCAATACAGCATTCTATTTCTTCTCGACGATGCCCGGGGTATAATTTCCTAAATGATGTCAAGGCTTGAATTGCTGCTGAGGTACATTCCACATAACTAAAGAGCATAGAATAAGGATAAGTTAAAAAGATAAAAATTTGAAATGGAGGGGTCGATGGAATGGAAGAGGGATACAAAATCTGATATTGGACAAGCATTAGATAGCTTACGGATAATCAATCACGATGTCGCCAAAAGTTTCAGCAGGATTGATTATCTGATAACAGAAAAAGCATTATCAATATTGTGTATCTGTATCTTAAAATTAATTCAAAAACAACTTCTCAAATTCTCAGGATCAACTATTGAGCCCTAGTTCTGAAACCGAAACGTTGGTCCTAATAAACCTGAAAAGGTTTGTTCCTAAACAACGATTCAACATGTAGAAGATCCAAAAACTTGTGCTTGACAACCTTACACATGAATCGGAAAAAAGTAGCTGTGGTTCTGTGTTCTATGGTTTTCAAGTAGCCTGGTTGGTTATTTCCAATTTTCATGATAATTGGTTTCTACACAAATGAGGGTGCGTAGCAATAAGGTTGCTCCTTGTAACCGGAAGGTCACTTGTTCAAGTATGAGAAACAACCTCTTTGTAAAAATACAAGAGTAAGGTTGTGTACAATAGACCTCACTCCTACCCTCACAAGTTGGAGTCTAGTGCACCGTTATTACCTTTTTTAATTGAATTGTACACAGAGATTATAGTAAAACTTTTAGTGCAATTAAAGGAAGATAAATTATAATTGAAATTTATTTATGAGGTAAGTAAGACATTTTATAACATATTAAGGGAGCACACGTAGCAGCCTCTAAATTAAAAGCTTAAAACAAAAACGAAGTATGGATTCAGTTCCTCCAATGGGAAGATAAAACATGTCTCACATGCCATCATGTGTTTCATATTTCAAAGATGATATACTAAAAACTAATGAGAATAGGCCGAATATTGAGAGAAGGCTACCTCCAACCAGTTATAAGATCGTGTGAGCTCATATGTTGCGAAGCCCCCATCTTCATTCTGCAATGATGAGAAAAAATAAATGCATTTTTGGATAATACCATTGATTCTAAAAATAGGTTGAATTGACTTTATAAATAACACTTCATGGATTACACTCTTTACAGTCAAACACAGACTATTAAAAAAAAAACGTACATAAACTTTATTTTGCATTCATAAGAATCAAATTAATATATCATCTGAAGTTGGACTTAAAGTCAATTACTTTTGCTACTAAAAATTAGAATTATATTTTTATTATGACATATAATATATATATATATATATATAGAGAGAGAGAGAGAGAGAGAGAGAACTGGAAATAAACATACTATGGTAGAGATATTTAATCTTCTAGATAAATAGCTCAGTTGATATCAAATGCAATTTGCAATAAAATACTATGTGATGATTCCATGAAGGATCTTAAAGGATGAGTGAGTGACTTAGTCATCTTATTGATATTAACATCATATGTAAGGAAGGAACCAATAATCACAAGTAATAGCATAAAATGATCACCATGATTTATTTGCTAGAATTATTCAGATAATCTGGCTTGAATCATGACGAATCTAGCTACCTGTAATGAGAGAATGACATTTACAGCATCATATAATCGCTTTGCATCCAATGGCTCACCAACAATATCTGGTGCAATTTTGGATAGTAATAGTACAGCCTGAAAAAGAAAATAAGAATCAAAATAGAAGAATCAAATAAGCAAGTAATTTTTTTCATCAATAATTACTTTCAGTCCTTCAGCTGTGCAGTCAGAAATCGGCCATCCATGATCCGCAGTTGAAAAAGGCCAAGCACCTTTTGAAATGTGACGATACCACTTATCAAGATCACCTGGACAATCTTCCGGAACCTTTCAAGAAAAAAAGAAGATATTCTGATCAAGAGGGCAAACCCAGGCAACTTATAATGTTAAATGTAAAAAATCACCTGTGAATTCTTAATGTACATATGAGCTTTTCTTAGAGTTGGACCATATTCTTCAACGAGGTTTGCTGAAATGATTGCTTGGACAGCAAATGCAGTATCCCATAGTTGACTTCCATTATAGCCCTGCAACAAAAATTGGTTACATGTAATATTTGTAACATTTATTTATTTTTAATACACTCTAGAATATAACCTTAAGAAAGTTCAATCTGCTGTAACATTGGTTCCACATATTACATCATAGAGAGATAACAATTATGTCCATATCAATCCTAATCATATGTAAATATGTCCAATTGCATGAAAAACATCATTTGATCACTCTGGCAAGGTGAAAATAAGTTGACTTATATGTGGACCTGCATTTTCATGCCATCTTCAGCAATCCATAGGTAATCATGGATCCTTGGAAGATGCAACTTGAAGGCCTCTGAATTTGGATCTTCCACCCAACAACAAAGCATATTTAACACCTGAATAATAACATAGAGAATAACAGTCAGTATTGCTAAGCATTTTCTGGTTTGGCTAGAAACATAAAATAACATATACGTGGAACATGGAAGGGAAGCTCAGGCATCCATAAAAAATATAATTAACACAGTGAAAATAAATTGTGGCAAAGTAAATAAAAGGTGAGCAAAGGAAAACTACCAATTATTTTAGTCAACAATGAAGTAAGTTAAGAAGAAGATCAACAGTATGTCAGTATTCTCACACTGCTACTCAAAGGGTGGAAAGTAAAAGAACAGTGAACAATTGAAGGGGCGACACTGTAGAGGCCTGCACCTTCTCAACAATTACCTTATTTACAGGACCTATGCAAATATAACGAGTATTCTCATCTTCATAATGAATATGCTCGATTGCAGTCCTAATAGCCTTGTCTCTCAACTTTTTGCCAGGCCAACACATCAAAATAGGCTCAAGGACCTTGTGTAAAGTTGCCCAGAGAATATCCTGCAGGAATGGATGAGGATAGTACAAGTCTTCCTGCACAAGAACAAAGGTAATCCTCTGGTAACCTTACTTAACTCCAGCACAAATAAATTGATAATTGACATTGTTAGAGAAACCAAATGCCATGTTCTATTTGTTAGAGATATAAAACCATTTACATGCCTTAACCTAACAGTAACACCTTAGCCTTTTGGAAGAGTTACTCCATCACATGAGCCCCTATAACCAAGTGGTAAAGAATTTGATTATTTCCGCCCCCATTCCCCTAGAAAAAGGTCAATTTCAGTATAAGGTAGAGTAGTGAATTGTCCAAATTTCAAGCCTAAAGGGCTCTTGCATAAAGAGGCGTGTGAGAGATATAACATCAATCATATGCTTTCACTTAATAGCCTAAGTTTTTGGAAAGTTAGACCCTGACACTAGATATGACAGGCTATAGTTGTGGTTACACAAGGAGCAAACTTTGTGCTAAGGATAAAGATTGGCATTATGATAAAATAGAAATCCTAGTAATGACTTGCTTGTGCAGTGTCAAATGAAGTAGAATGTAGTAATAGTGGCATGATGATTGCCATTGTGATGGTGACAATAGCGGTGGCGTAACATTAGTACCCAATGCTCGGGCAAGTTCCAGCATCAATTTAATAGGAAAACTAACATATAGTTTCACCAGATAAAGCAGCCAAAGAGAGGGGGCAAAGTTTGGCTGCTATTTTTAATGCAATTATTAGTATAAGCAGGAGCAGGATATTATATTGGGGTCCTCACAAATGATAAAATTCAAGTGTAACAATTCTCATATATTGTTTTCATAGGATCAGTTTAGCAGCTTCACTAACCTTTGCACACAAATTGCGAGCCTGATTCCAGTCTACTTCATGATATGGTATGGTATAAAGCTCTTTTCTCAAAGATAATATTGTTGGAGTAATCGTACCAACAAACCTCTTGCCATATAAGTAGGACATTGGCAGATAGACCATCCGGCAGTGACACCACATCCTTCCTGTAAAACATAAAAATATGAATTATTTTCTGTTTTAAGTAAAGAAAGAATGAAACACCAAACAATGTTTAAGATGAATAATGAAACAAATTTAATAACGAAATAATTTTATAAGAATTCAAGAATATCAGGTCTTTCTTAAGAACAGCATATACCACATGAAGTCATGAACAGATGATGCCTTCTTTCGAAAATCTGGGTATAGTGTTTATGTTCTTAATCATGAATATTCTTATGTGAGCAATAGCTTTCTTGTTTCCTCACAACATAAAATCGTACATTAGATGACAAAAGGTTCCCTGACAAATTGAACAACAAAACAAAAGTTCCACTACAAATTTTATATTAAATATCTTTTGTACAAACTTAAGTATGCCACCTTGTTCAACCCAAATTCAATATATTTATTTCTTCACCAGCAAACTCAATTTTCTTGATTAATTTGACAGGATTCCACCACCATCATTGTTCCATAAAATAATCATTTTTCTCAACTTAGGTGGAAAATTTTGTTTGAACAAAGCTAAACAAGCTGTTCTTATTGAACAGAACACTTCTCCATTTGTAGAAATCTTAACAAGAAACACTCAACAGTAAAGGATGGAAGGTTCTGTTGAGCATAATAAATATTTCGGAAAAATTACAAAATCAAAGTTCTTGTTAGAATATATTAGATATGATTAGATATGATTGGATTACTTCCTATCTGTGAATATTCTGATTGTATTAGGTCTGGGCCTTTCACTTAAGCCCATTAGGGTCTCTATATATTGTAACTCTCTGAATTAGATCAATACACAACATTATTATTTCATATTCAAGTTGGTACTAGAGCTCTTTTGTTCTGGGGACCCTCGCTTCCGCTTAGAAACCTTGTTTTCGCTTTAAAACCTAAGTCCACTGCTTAGGAGTCATCTTTTCGTTGCCATGCGTCCTTCCGGCAAGCCATCAAGGACTGTAAGTCCCTTCTGAGCAATTTCCAGACGCGTCAGCACCTCTGACGGTCACCGGAACCACCGTCCGCCACTGTTCAGGCCGCCGGAGAACTTTTCCGGCAAGTTTTCAGCCCGGACCGTACGCGATCAGCATCCTCTCCTCCCGGCGACCAGCTCTGTGGCAGTCCGGCCACCATCGGAGTTCTCACGCGCCGTCCATCTCCTCTGCACGTGGGCCTCACGCGCCACCTTCTGCCGGAGCGTGTGCACTATTCCGACGGCTTTTTCCGGCTGGTCTTGGACATAGAAGCTCGCCTTCTCCTCCTCTTTCTAGATCTGTGGTTGTTTCTCTGTGGGTCTGACTTTTTGTGCGCACCTCTTCTTGATCGGTGATTAGGTTCGTTCCTATTTACTCGGTTTATATCTTTCTGATTTCATATTATGGCAGCAGATTCTCCTCTTCATTCGGAGGTCAGTTCTCCACCTCCTCCTGTCAAAAATTCTCCCAATATCATCTCTACCAATGTTGGGCCCATTACCTCTTCAAAATTGAAGGGTTCTGTTAATTACAAGAACTGGGCCACCTCTGTTCGAGTTTGGTTCTTTGGACAAGGACATGGGAGCCACCTCACGACTAAGTCTACTGATGTCCCTAAGGAGGAAAAGTCTGATTGGGAAAAGATTGATAACCAGCTTCTGAGTATCCTCTGGCAATCTATTGATCCAGTTGTCTTGGACATCTTCTATTCATTTCAAACTTGCACTGAAGTGTGGGAGGAAGCAAAAAACCTCTATACTAATGATGTTCAGCAGCTCTATTTCATCATCTCTCAGTTTATGGAACTGAGCAAATCATCCGACATTCAGATGGAGACATATTTTGGCAAGAGTCGATCTTTGATGCAGGCATATTTGGATTTGTTGCCTTACCCTACTGATGCTTCTGCATATCGGAAACAGGTGGAACGCCTCTTTATGGTTGCCACACTGTCTGGCCTCCGCGAAGAATATGATAATGTCCGGGATACTATCTTGACTAGTGGGAAGCCTGATCTATTAATGACGTATCAGCGTCTTCTGAATCTGAATAAGAAATCTGCTCCTGCATCGTCTTCTGCTGTTGATTCTACTTCTCTAGTTTCCCGTACTGACTTTCCCGGGAACATTGGAGGTGGACGTGGTCGTGGTAGAGGCCTGGGAAAACGTGGCCCAGGAGGCCCAGTCGGACGTGGCCCAGGAGGCCCAGTCGGACGTGGTCAGCGACCTTGTTGTCATTACTGTCAGCAACTTGGTCCTTATGAGGAACGTTGCTACACAAAGTACCCTCACTTGCTACCTTCTCATGCTGCTAATATAGCTCAATCGGATTCTGCTTCAAATGGTACAATCTCTCTCTCCTCCGAAGACTATGCAGCATTCCAGATCCTTCTCAGGAAGGTCTCTCCTCAGTCTCAGGCTTCTGCTTCAGAAACTAGTAATCCCATTGCTTGTGTTTCTCATTCTACATCACTTGGCCCTTGGATATTTGACTCAGGTGCTACTGATCACCTCTGTGGTAATAAGGAACTTTTTTCATCCTTTACATATTCTGATAATTTACCCTCTTTTACCCTTGCTGATGGCACTAAGACTCCTGTTCATGGAATTGGACAAATTTGTCCAACCTCCTCATTGACCTTGACATCTGTCTATTACATTCCTAACATCCCTTACAATTTAATATCCGTTTAACTCTATTATCACCTTCTCAAATCATTCTGTTTCTGTGCAGGACCCGGGTACGGGGAAGACGATTGGAGTGGGCCGTGAGTCACAGGGTCTGTTCTACCTGGTTGTGCCGAGTTCTTCCGTTGCTTGTTCTCTCACAGAATCTCCACAACTCATCCACAGTCGCCTCGGGCATCCTAGTCTTTCCAAATTACAGAAGATGGTTCCTCTTTTGTCCGGTCTTCAGACTTTAGATTGTCAGTCATGTCAGCAAGAAAAGCACATACGCTCCTCCTTTGCTAATCGAGTCAATAAACGAGCTGATGCTCCTTTTTCAATTATTCATTCAGATATTTGGGGTCCTAGTCGTAGTGTGTCAATTTTAGGTTTTCAGTATTTTGTTACCTTTATTGATGATTTCTCTCGTTGTACTTGGATTTATTTAATGAAAAACCATTCTGAGTTGTTTTCTATTTATCAAAAAATTTCTGCTGAAATTCATACTCAATTTGGTGCCTCTATTCGTATTCTACGTAGTGATAATGCTAAGGAATATGTGTCTGTAGACTTTTCTAATTTCTTAGCCAAACAGGGTACTTTACACCAAACTACTTGTCCTCACACTCCACAACAAAATGGAGTAGCTGAACGTAAGAATAGACATCTCATTGAGACTGCACGGACTCTTCTTATTCACATGCATGTTCCTCTTCACTTCTGGGTCGATGCAGTCCTTGCCTCTTCTTTTCTCATCAACTGTATGCCTTCATCTGTGCTTGATAATGACATTCCTTATAACTTATTGCTTCCAGATGTTCCTCTCTATTCTCTATCCCCACATGTCTTTGGTTGTACCTGTTTTGTTCATGATATCACCCCTGGTAAGGACAAGTTAACATCCAAAGCTTTTAAATGTATTTTTCTTGGTTATTCTCGTCTTCAAAAGGTTATCGTTGTTATTCTCTCGATCTTAAGCGTTACTTAGTTTCCGCTAATGTCACTTTTCTTGATCAACAACCCTTTAATTCTATCTCATCTCAGTTGTCACAGGTTGATCATGTTCTTCCTGTCCCTTTTCTGGACTTGTCTTTGCTAGCTGCAGGTGCTTCTATTCCAGATGAGCAACCTGTTGCTTCAGTACCTGAGGACCGTCCACTTCTCACTTATCAGCGTCGTAAAACTGTGCCTCCTGTCGACTCGACCCCTGCTGACTCATTGCCCCCTGCAATTGATTCTTCCCCTCCGGATCCTTCACCAGAGGCTCTTCCTATTGCTCAAAGAAAAGGTACATGTACTACTCGTAACCCTTATCCTCTTTATACCTTTTTGAGCTATGACGGTCTTTCTTCACCTCATTTCACCTTTGTTTCTAGTCTTTTTCTATTTCTATTCCTAAGACCACAGGTGAAGCACTTTCCCATCCAGGGTGGCGCCAAGCGATGCTTGATGAGATGACTGCACTTCATTCCAATGGCACTTGGGACCTTATTTCTGCTCCTCCAGAGAAGTCTATAGTTGGTTGTCGCTGGGTGTTTACTGTAAAAGTTGGACCTGATGGCCATATTGATCGCCTCAAGGCACGCCTAGTTGCAAAGGGTTTTACTCAAATATTCGGCCTTGATTATGGCGATAAATTCTCTCCGATCGCTAAGATGGCGTCAGTCCGCCTATTTCTTGCCCTTGCTGCTGTTTGTCACTGGCCACTCCTTCAACTTGACATCAAAAATGCCTTTCTTCATGGTGATTTACAAGAAGCAGTTTACATGGAGCAACCACCTGGTTTTGTTGCTCAGGGGGAGTATGGAAAGGTGTGTCGTCTTCGAAAATCCTTATATGGTCTCAAGCAGTCTCCTCGAGCATGGTTCAGTCAGTTCTGCTATTCAGGCGTTTGGCTTAATCCGCAGTAAAGTTGACCATTCTGTATTTTATAGGATTACATCTCCTGACAAGTGCATCTATTTGTTAGTCTATGTTGACGACATCATTCTCACCGGAAGTGATCAAGACGGAATTCGTCAGTTAAAACAGCATTTATTCAGTGCATTTCAAACAAAGGACCTTGGGAAGCTGTGTTACTTCTTGGGAATTGAGGTGGCGCAATCTAGACAGGGCATTTCTATCTGTCAAAGGAAGTATGCCTTGGATATCCTAGAAGAAACTGGTATGTTGGGGAGTAAACCAGTTGATACACCCATGGATCCTAATGTCAAGTTATTGCCCGAACAGGGGGAGCCGTTATCTGATCCTGGACGCTATTGGAGGCTAATTGGGAAGCTCAATTATCTTACTGTGACTAGGCCAAATATTTCTTTCGCTGTTAGTACGGCTAGTCAGTTCCTTGAATCCCCTTGTGATTCACATTGGGATGCTGCTTTGAGGATCCTCCGATACATCAAATGAGCACCAGGAAAAGGTTTGTTGTATTCAGATCAGGGAAATACAGAAATTTGTGGTTATTCAGATGCTGATTGGGCAGGATCACCCTCGGACAGGCGCTCTACTTCCGGTTATTGTGTCTTCTTTGGAGGAAAGTTAATTTCGTGGAAGAGCAAGAAACAACCTGTTGTTGCTCGATATAGTGCAGAAGTTGAGTATCGTGCAATGGCAAATACTACCTGTGAGTTAATCTGGTTAAAGCAGTTGATTCAGGAGCTTCATCTTTGTGAACAGAAACAACCCATGACACTCATCTGTGATAATCAAGTTGCGCTACATATATCCTCTAATCCTGTATTTCATGAGAGGACCAAACATATAGAGATTGATTGTCACTTCATTCGAGAAAAGATTCAGTCAGGAGAAATCAAGACAGCTTTCGTCAACTCTTCTGATCAACTAGCGGATGTCTTCACTAAAGCTCTTAGAGGTCCTCGGGTTGAATACATTTGTAACAAGCTTAGTGCTCACAATATATACGCACCAGCTTGAGGGGGAGTGTTAGAATATATTAGATATGATTAGATATGATTGGATTACTTCCTATCTGTGAATATTTTGATTGTATTAGGTCTGGGCCTTTCACTTAAGCCCATTAGGGTCTCTATATATTGTAACTCTCTGAATTAGATCAATACACAACATTATTATTTCATATTCAAGTGTTATATTCAAGTGTTCTCGACAAAAATATTTCTATTCTAAGAAACAACTCATTTAACATTGTTAACCCGTTAAGTGGCGAGTTATTTGTAAACTGGAAATGATTTTACCAAAGATTCCTTTTTTCTGTAATTTTCCCTAACTTTATGTCTTTTCTCTGAACAAGTTAATACATATTCAAACAGAATAAAGAGCAAGAACCTGGATGAACTGGAAGCATGTATGGAAGGAGCCATATCTCAGGGGGGAGGGGATTATTTCCCGACCATTCATACACTCCAAGTACCTGATCCACAATAAAATTAGAAATAAATATATCACAATGCCATATCTATTAAAATCATCAAAATAAGGCTACGATCTTAACTGAAAGCCACATCTTCCCCCACGATGTCATGAAAGTAGCACCACCATGCCCTAGAATCCAGTCACGCCCCTTCTCCATTTGCCCTTGTCCATCATTAGGTCCCTCACCAAGCAATCTCAGAGAAACATAATTCAAGACAGAGCCAAACATGGTGCTTGGACCTTCAATATGCAAACCCCACCCACCATCCGTGTTCTGCAGTTACAATTAACTGATTAAGAGAACTGAAGCCCATAGATTAGGGGGAAGGATGGTGTGAAGTTCTAACCTGATGATTATAGAGATAACGGCACATTTCCTTTCTATGTTCTTCTGTTAAGACTGCATTCAGTGCCCCAGTGATAGACAGTGTAATTACCTGTTTAATTGTATATCCCAAATAGTATAGACCTCTCATGGTTATCAGTCGGGAGTAAATACGAAAATATAAATACCAAACAAAATGAAAACACCCAACTCTAGAAAGCAATGGTTGCAGTTATGTCAAAGCTAAGCATTTCCCATAAATTGTTAATATAGCATAGAACAAGTTTCACAAATAAGATGAAGTGTTCAAATCATAACTTACCAAGCCAGGCAACAGAAACATGGGACCTCCATAATCTCCTGGCCAGTGTCCATCATGACTTTGGAGAGTTGAGTGGAAACTTACGGCCCTTCTTAATGTTCTTGTCACAGTCTCTTCAGTCACATCCTCAACATCTTTGACTCTGACTTTGGGTAAGACTTCATCTATTGGGTTCTCTTTTGCAAACTACATTGTTTTATATGAAAGATTATTGAACTTAAATGGTCAAATTTATGATATAAGAAACTTAGAATATGACTTCCACACCAGAGTGTAAAGTACTAAATATCAAATAACACCCCTTAGCATAACATAACAATAAAATGATTTTACTAGAATAAACTCATTTAAAGGTTAAAAATCATTTCTGAACTGTTTTCCTCATTTGAAGATAGAATAAGTCTGAACACGCACATGGTAATAACTTCAATCTTCTACAAAATCAATAAACCTCTTTCAAGGGTAACTAATAAACAGGGGATGAAGCTGCAACTAAAACCAGAAATTATCTATGCCTGAAATTTCTGCAAAAGATGCAGGTAGATTTTCATGAGCAAAAGAGTACAACTTATGCCAATCTAGGGGGTATTCAAGGGGAAAAAAGGTATAGAGGCAGTTTAAATTATTATAATTATTAACACACACACACACTCTAAAGCACTAGACACATCAACTAGTATGAAATAGCTAAAAAAAAGTAAGTTGATTTATATCATATCTGAGTCTGAATATTATGCACTGTATCCAGCCTATCATATGGTGGTTTACAAAATATTTTATTCTTTTCACTGCCATCATGTCAATCATGCATCTAATCAAATAACTGAGAATTCTAATTAACCAGAATAAAATACGGCAATAACAGCGAGCGAGAGAACGAGAGAGAGGGAGAGAACACAACACAGACCTGAATGCGCATAAGTAGATCGGAGCTGTGTTTCTCGGTGAAGCGATTCTTGTGGAAATTCTCGCGAGCTGTTTCAATCTCCAAGAGATCTTGTGGCGATCCAAGCTTAGGATCGAACTCCCAAACCTGTCTTCCAATATGATTGTTCAATGTCCGAAGCCACGGACTACCTCCCTCGGCAATCTTGAGCTTCCACATTTTCTAACAAAAAAAAAAAAAAAAAAACAATTGCAATTGAGAAATGAAACAAATGAAAATGAGTATTTAGAATGAGTAGGAGCAGAGAGTAGCCAACCTGTTTGTTTGTTTGTTTGATATGCAATGTGAATTGCAAAGAGTAGAGAAATGGGATTGAATTCTTCAAGTACAACAAGATAGGAGGAACGGCATCTGGATTTTAGAATGCAAATGGAAACAATCAATCTGTCTCTGCATTTAATTTATAACAACTACCATAAAGGGACGGAGCTTGCAAAAACTTACCAAACTACTAGACGACTGGGCCATATACACACAACGAGTCTGCGTGGCAGCGTGGCTTTGGGTTCTTTTCTTTCTTTTTTTTAAAACCCGATCCACTCCCGGGTTAGAGACGGTGACCATTTTGCCACGTTTTGACAAAAAAATTATCAGAATGCCACGCGAACAGTAAAATTTTTCAAACTGCCACGCGGCATAATTTGCTACACAGTGTAGCGAAATATGCCACGTCAGAATCAAAAAGTGCCAAGTGTCAAAATTGTTGAAATTTGCTACCCTAGCGAATTACAACAATTCTGACACATGGTACTTTTTGGTTCTGTGCATTCTGACGTGACATATTTCGCTACACTATGTAGTGAATTACTTGTATGCATAATTCACTACACTGTGTAGCGAATTATGCCACGTGGCAGTTTGGAAAATTTTACTGTTCGCGTGACATTCTGATAATTTTTTTGGCAAAGCGTGACATTTGAATCACTGTCCCTCGAGTTAAGCTTTTCAATTTTTATTTTTAAGAAAATATAAGAATTATATTACAGGGATTTATTATTCATTCCTATAACAATTTTTTAATTATATATTTTTGAGGAATATGAATTATAGAATATGCTATAACAAGACATGCACCCTTATTTTTATTGCCATTATCCTTGTATTATGTTTTTTGATTTTTAAATATATTGAGAGAGAGAAAGAAAGAGGGAGAAAAGGTGTAATATCTCTCACTCGTGACTGACATACTCTAAATACGTGTAACTTCATTCTTACAAACATAAGTAGAATTATTATAAAAAGAAGTGAAGTTCCGTGGATTCTCACGTAAGAATAAAAAATTGTTAGATGGAAATATTACAATCTTAGCTTAATGCATATGTAAAGAGGACATGAATTGATATTATATATTATATATTATATATTAAATCATGACTCGTGGTCAAAGCGGGGGGAAACAATAATATTATATATATTGAAAGACATTGCTCATGGATACAAATTTTGGGCACATCTTCGTGTAGAGTCTACACACACATGGAAGAGAACATCCCTACCCCACTTCTATTAAATATCACTCATTAATCAATATTAAATGCTTGATAAGTTTTGCTTGATGATCTCTTCCCCGTCACTTTTTTTATTTTGCCATAATAGAAAGATAAAGGTTCAAAAATTAGGAGGTGGAAAAATTTTAATAAATTGAACTCGAATGTGAATTGATCCAAATCACAAAAAAAAAAGGAAGCAAATTTGGCTTTACCAATTCAGTTTGTTTTGGATTAAAAACAACCAAACCATACCCACTCTTATGGGAGTGAAAAAATTTAATGAATTTAATCAAACCGCGACTCAAACTGAATTGCATCATGTTTTTCCAAATTGATTCAAGAACTGAACCACTTTTTAAATCAGTTCGATTCGATATAGAACAAATCAAACTGAATTGTGCATACCCCTATAAAAATAAGAGATACCTCTTTTGTTAATGGAGGTACTTTTCAATAAAGAGTAAAGTCGTTCAATATGGAAGAGGTTGAATACCACTATAAACACCCTAAATGCGCAATCGACGAAGAACCAAAGTAAAATAAGGAAAGTAGAGGAAGCAAAGAGATGGAGAGATTTTGGTGAACAACGAAGGCAAAATGCGACAAAAGTGGAAAATGACATTAATTGTTTCTTAAAAAAAACCACCCCATAAAATTTAAGAGTTAGGGAGCACAATTATCATTTTGGACCCACATTTAAAATTATATGATACTAACTAGGGGTGAGATATTGTAACAATCAATTAAAGTTATTATCAATTAATTTCATCGTTAGATTGATTATGTTGATCTAACGGTTATATTTATTTCCGTTTTTGTATGGTTACGATTCTCCATATTTAATGTGAAAGCATTAAATATGATAAATCATAAATATATAAAGGTGAAAATAAATATAAAGTATTAAATAGTCTCATTATTGTAAGATGCCAAAAGTTTGATCATTTCAATAAAATTATCATTATTTCTTGAATTAATAGTCTCATCATGCCCTCTAAGAGCACATCCTTAAAAAGTAAGCCAACGAGCAACATCAATTGAGGTCTTAACACGCAACTTATTTTGTTCAATTTGTTGGGAGCTTTGAACATGAATAACTTTATCAATATGGCAAGACTAATTCATTAAGTCTACACATGAGATGAGTGCATCAATATGTATTAACAAGGATCATATCTCATGCGACTTAGAAAAAGCACAATACTTTCAACTGTGAACTCTATGCCAACTATTAAATTTTTTGATTGTGAATGTATCTCAACCATTCGCCTACCGGCCTTTATAGTGAAAATATAGCATGGTAAACAAAATGCAGCATCTACATAAGGTGAATACTGAAGCCACTAAGAAAATTCTTTGAACTAAGAAGCTTGAAAATGTCGAGGATGTTTTTCCTTTGAAAATGGATAGGATTATTGAGGTTGATATAACCCAGCTATTAAATAAGATCTCCGTATCTCATCGACTTCATTAGTTGAATATTCCCAAATTGGCTTATGTTTGCCTAGATCACATTCAAATTTTTTATTTTTTACTATAATAATGTCATTAACATGTTCAATTTTACGAGACTTGGAAGGAGGTTGCTCATGAGAAGGTGCATCACTTTTAAAAATTATGTTCACAGGAGCATCACTTGATTCCCTTTCAGAGACTACTTTCTTTTTGAAAAACACATCTATACTTTTCAGTTTATCCTTGCCCATACCTTTTCAACCTAATCAATTTTCAAATTTAAGAAAAAACAAATGATTATACAATACATAATTACAAATGGACCAAGATGAATGTATATATAACATTATCTAACAAACATGTACAAGACTGAATAACCGATAATTTTTTCTCCAGTAAAGGATTTTTATCATTATCATAAAATCATAATACCTCATACTATCATATCTCATTATTTATAAGTTGAATTAGTACTAGCCATTGTGAAAAAGGAAGATAATGACTTATCTCAGTTTTGTTTTTATTGTTTCGTATGTCTGCTTCTAGCTTGTTTACATTCTTTATGCTGTGCTCATATGAGATTTGCTGCTGTTAAGGATACCTTTTACCAATAGGAAGACCCTTTTTTTATCAAACATACTAATGTTTAAGGAGGAAAATTGTGTTTAAAATTAATAGCTCAAACTTTTTATCAAACACCTTATATGCAGTCCCACAAGTATTTCAAATCATGAAAATAAATAAAAGGGCCATATTCTCAATCTTACCTATCAATCCACGAGAGCGCGAGATAATTTATTAGTTAGATATTTAATCAAACAGGAGGCATACAAACAGTGTCAAATCATCAAGCATTAACAAATGGCCAGCTTGTGAAGCACTTGGAGCAAGGGAAGGGAACGCCGTTGATGTTGAACCGTCGATTCGAGACTTAAATTTTTTCCCTTTTCAATGAGAACCAAAAAACCGGTCTGATCATTGAGCGCAATTAGGCCCTCTTCCAACCGAATTTCACTCCTATCTATGACTCTGTCTCCTTGCGTAACAGCAACACACAACAGGTTTTGTATTTTTGTTTCTTGTGTTTTAAAAATGGGTAAAATGTGTGTCATTTTAAAGGATCGTGACATTTTAAGAGAGAGAAAGAGATAGATAAAGGAGGAGAGAGAGTTGACAAAAAAAATAAAGTTGTGGGTTCCACCTCTTTGTGAGAGTGAGAGTGAAAGGATATAAGTTGTGTCATTTAAAAGGATAAACATTTTTCCCTTTAAAAATTGGTAAAAATGTATCTAATGTTATTTTAGATAACTTTATCTAATGTTTATCGAAACAACGTCTTTTTGGAGTTAAAAAATTAAAAAATTAGAATGACAAAGACTATTATAACCGTGAAATAAATTAAAATTATAAAAATACCATGATTTCTGCCCCAAAACGACGTCGTTTCGATAAACATTAGATAAAGTTATCTAAAGTAACTTTAGAAAAAACAAACCCTTAAAAATTATATAATGTTTTGTCTTTTTACTTTATTTTCCTTGATTCTTTATCTCTTGCTGCGATGTGGACCTTTATATATATATATATATATATATATATATATATATATATATATATATAAGTTTGGAACTAATATTTTAAATTTAAGAGAGTGCCAAATATAATTACTTATTATAATTAGGGGTGAAAGTGGGTCGGGCCAGTCTATGGCTAGCCTATATCAGCTGGGCTTGGCCTATTACAATAGTCAAATAGAAACAAGTCCAGGCTTTTAAAGAAGCTTATTTAGAAAGTAGGTGATAAAATTTTTTTTACATGCCAAGCCTATAAGCCTACAGGTCGGCCTATATCATATTATTTATTTTAAATAAAATAATATTATTTATACTAGTACCAAATAGTGATAGTTCAGTTGGTGCATGTGAGCTAAGTAGGTGGTGGAAGGACTTAAGTTCGTTTCCTCACCAATACTGTCTTTGAGAGTGAAATAAAATCTGTACCAATCTCTACAGTACCATCGAAATCAATATTTAGTGCTGGAGGAAGAGTTATTGATGCCTATCGTTCTAACTTGGCTGAAGATACTATCCAAGCTTTAATATACGGCGGATATCGGTTACGTAATATGTATGACTTGAAGAAAAAATAAAAGGTATAAATTTAATCAATTGAAATTATTTTATAATTTAATTATATTCGATTAAATTTTAATAGAAATTTGATTTTATTTTTTATGTAGGAGGAACCAACATCTCAGCATATGAGATTGCCTGAATCAATCTATTAAAAGATTTTTTGTTTCTTAATCTTATTTTTTTGTTTCTATTCTTTATTCTTGTTTTTTGTTTTTTACATTTACAAATTATTTGCCAACTTATGTAATCTTGGAGTTGTATTTGTAGGGGAGAGAAGATGAACAGAAGTTTTTGGCTACTACAAGAATCATGATGTGTTTGTTGGATTCATGTAGTTATTTTAATTTACATAGTATAGATTTGTTTGTTGGACATGATGAAATATATATTATTTAGTTTTAGCATTTTGCTTTTGAAATTGACTTAAATGCAGATTGTGATGAGTTTTTTTTATAATTCATGGTTTTGTTTGGATGTTGAAATTGTGAATTTTGTTTTAGTAACAAAATTTGAGTAATTTGTGAAGTTGATTCATGGTTCTGCTTGGAAGTTAAAAATTAACAGGCTAACGGGGCAAGGCAGCCATTTGTTTTTTTATAAACGGGTCAAGCCAAGCTAACAGTTAGACTCGTACTAGGGCCAGGCCAAATTAATTTTTTTTTTGACATAGGCTTGAGTTTTTCGAAGCAAAGCTTGACCCAGTCCAGCCCATTTTCACCCCTAATTATAATTATATATAATAAATAACAGTTGTTGAAAGATAAATGGTGCCAAGGTACCACTAGGCGCCAAGGTACCAATAGACACCAAGGTAGTTCCGTCACTGCTCACCAAATCTATGTGACTCACCCCTCTCTTATTTTATTATCCAAATCACTAGGCAACTGAGTTGCAGGCTGCTAGGAGTTGTGGATCATCTCATAGCTTGTTTTGGTAGTCCTCCTCGGGATATGAGTATCTTTTTGGAACTATGAACATTTTGCAATTATGGAAAGTGTATTAGAGAACTCATTTTGGGTTTTAAGTCTCTAAAGTGTGGGTTATATTTTGTTGTTGTTATTACTAATTGGTAATATAAACATTGCATATGAGGTATTCGATTTGTTTGGGAATGTTAGAAATATATGGGAAACTTTGCCCAAATTTCAAAAAAATTGAAATATGAATCGTTTTGAATTTCCTTTGTTTAACATGATTTTGGAAAGATAGGCTTGCCAGGCTAAGGCTAAGGCTACTTGGATTATCATAACTTGTGTGTCGGTCATGCTCAAATTTGGGTCGTGAAAACTATCAACGAATGTTAATTTGATTAACTGGAACCATAGCTAAAATATACTTGATATAGGCTTAAACAACCCAAGATTACTAGTGATCATATCAATCAGGATATAACCCAGCCAACGAATAAAAGTCACAACTTTTGATTCCTTTAAAGAAAGGACTACTAGGACCTGTTTGGTACAAGGATTTTGGGGAGATTACCAGTAAACCTTGTGTGGTAATGGTAATTACCATGTTTGGTACAAGGATCCAAAAGCCAATTCCTAGATATCCTAGTTTTACCGGTAATCTCATTTACAAACAAAAGTTACTGTGCTGATTACCAAAAAATGTGTGGTAATTGACGATTGCAACGCGAAGGGAAATGAGAACTACTATTTTTTAGACTAAATTACCCCCAACACACATCAAATCTAGATCTGGTGTCATTGTTACTCATTTCCTCTTGCGCTGCTTTCGTCAATAGTCGGTAAGCTTCTTCGTGTGTTCTTCACCTCGTTTATTCTTGTTTCGTTCATGGATGCGAATGGGTTGTGTGGTTTAGGCAATATTCCCGGTGTCTTCGCTGGCGAGCTGACTCCTGTATTTCCTTTTTGTTTTTTTTTTCAGCACCCATGGAAACCTAAGTTTGGTATCTCCAAAATCTAGTCTTCGTGGTTGCGCTCGTTTGAAGGCTTGTAGGTAAGCTTCAAGTTTGCAGTAGGTATTTAAATTGATTTGTGTCATTCACTACCAATATTTTGTGGTTGTGTTGTTCTGCACATTCATTTGTTATCTTTTACTAGCTGTCTTGAATTTAATTTTTTTTGTCTTTCAATGATCAAGTTAGTGAAATGCCATTGATACAATAATCATTTTTTTTTTGCATTCATTTGTTCTGCACATTCATGTGTTGTTCACCGTACCAATCTCTCTCTTTTTAACTCTATTATTTTAATACAGTAAAATTTTTATGCACAGTCAGAATAAAAATCTATGAAAGAAGTGATGGGAAGTGTTTTTTTTTTTGGACTAAAAGATATAATACTTATTAATGATTATTGTTTGAAAAATATGTTGAAAAACATGCAGAATCACAAATACTTAATAATTTGGGCACCTCTAAAATCTCTTCCCCCAGATGCTCGTTCGGCCAAAAGGGGAGGCATAAAATTTTAGTAATTGATTGGCTTCCAAATATTGTAGCTATTCATCTTGGAGGAATGGCTTGTATGGCTTGCTCACTCCAAAGAATACAGTCTTCAACTATGCACATCAATTGGGAGAGATACCCTTCTTGGGGGATTCAATTGGTGGACATTTGATATGACAAAATAAAAAAGCCATGTAAAAAGTTGGATGTGTGAATGACATTCAGGTCACCATACCCCATATGTTGGAAGGAACTAGAACCCTAACAATTAGAAAGTGTAGGGACCTGGATGCTGGATGCAGATTTTGATAGTTTTGGAATCAAAATCCAAACAAGTAATAACTATAAATATAGAGGAATTACATTTTTTAACTTTGATATATTTTGAATTCTCTGTAGATAGCCTAAAACATCAACATAACTGATTTATTTTTGTATTTTAATTTGAACTGGTTGCAAGTTATGATTATTAGGGACTTGAAAACTCAGTATGCATTTGTGCATCATAACTTGGTGACATGTGTGTCAATGATAAGTATATTTATAAACCCCAATTGGATTAGTCTAAAATAAATCACATAGACTCCATATCTTGACCAACAAATAATGAATAGGTGAAGTCCTTATCCAACAAATAATGAATTGGATTAGTCCTTATATTGTATTTGTTGTGGATCTCTATCAATAACAGATTTTGAAAAATAAGCATTTTGTGTACCAAACTAAACTATGATTTTAAGTAGTATGTTTTAATATGGATTTGTGGATGTATGTTGACTTTTTTTGTTTTTTAAACTAGTACATTCTACGTCAAATCAGTTTGGTATTTGATGTGTTGTCAATATTGTTGAGGTAAATATTATATCAGGGCAGGTATATAACTTTGATACCGTTAAATTGGGACATACCATGATAAGTCGATGGTTGTTAATTGAAGTGCTTCTTACTCAAGTATTATTCAAAAATAGCTGATCAAGTGACTAACCTATGCTTGTCAGAATGACTTGTGTATATGTCCATTATATTGTCATCGTTTTCCATCGTTGTTGCCTACTGTATTGTCGTATAGTTTTGATTATTCCTTTTGTCATCTTCGTGATAGATTATGGCAATGAACAACGGAATGAAGAAGCGTGTCGTTGTTGTAGTCATAACGTATTTGGAGTCTTTGAATCGATTGACTGCAATATTAATTAGTATGTGTGCTTTGTTATTGGCGAATATTGCAAGACGGAGAAGTAACAGGAATAGATTAACTTGGGATTGTTATGGTAGGGCGTCGTCTAGGGAAATCAATTTCCATAGAATAGTTTATATGAGTGACAGGGCTTGTATTGAGAATACAAGGATGGACAGAACTTGTTTTTTTAAGTTGTGTGAGATGCTGAAAACTGTTGGGAGGCTTGAAGCCACCCGACACATGGGGGTAGAAGAGCTGGTTGCAATATTTCTTCACATCTTGGCGCATGATGTTAAGAATAGAGTTATTAAAAGACAATTCATGAGGTCTGGCGAAACCATAAGCAGACAGTTCACAAATGTCTTGCTGGCTGTTTTACGTTGTCATAAAGTTTTACTCAAACGACCTGAGCCAGTCCCCGAAAATTCAACTGATGAGAAGTGGAAATGGTTTAAGGTATACAATAATTTACGTCATGTTATCTTCATCATCATGAAATGCCATACTTTCACATTTCGTGTGTGTATTGATTAGTTTGTTTATTATTTTTATTAATACAGAATTGTTTGGGAGCTCTGGATGGGACACACATCAAGATCAACCCCTTACAAGGTGATAAGCCTAGATATCGGACTAGGAAGGGTGAAATAGCAACAAATGTGTTAGGTGTTTGTTCTCAAGATTGTCAGTTTATATATGTATTGCCTGGATGGGAGGGATCGGCTGCAGATTCGAGAGTCCTCAGAGATGCTATATCTCGAACGAATGGATTATGGGTGCCAAAAGGTTGGTCAATTTTATCACGAGTTCATGATTGACACATTGGTTACACAAGATTTTGAATTATATGTTGATAAAAAAAAATTTATTCGTAGGATTTTATTATCTGTGTGATGCTGGTTACATGAATGGGGAAGGATTCCTTGCACCTTATCGAGGGCAAAGGTATCATCTAAGCGAGTGGAGGCAGGGAGCACATCCAACAACACCACAAGAATTCTTTAACATGAAACACTCTTCCGCCAGGAATGCCATAGAGCGATGTTTTGGGATGTTGAAGGGGCGATGTGCGATAATAAGGTCAAAGTCATTTTATCCGGTCAAAACACAGTGCAGAATAATAACTGCATGTTGCTTGCTTCACAACCATATTAGGCGAGAAATGGCAAGTGACCCTATGGATGACCATGCAGAGGATATGCAAGAGACACATCCTGATGTTGGAGATAACATGCTCATTACTCATGTAGAGTCATCTACTGCTTGGACTAATTGGAGAGATAATTTGGCGCAGGAGATGTTTAACACTTGGAGGAGACGTGCATGACGATTGGCATTATATCTATCGTTGTTATTCGTAGTTAATTATTTATATTGTCATCGTTTGTTGTACTCATAACTGACATAGGTCCTTTATTTTCTGTTTTCATGTAATGCTACCTACTGTGTTAATTATGCTGTTGTGGTTGACTGAATGCTCTAACTTTGCTATCTTAGTTCGATTTCAATCTGGGTTCTTATTGTTTCATGTTTTTTTTTCTACACTTTCTCTATATTATTTTGATTCAACAAATAGATGGTTGAATCAAGTCAACAGTCGACAAAAAGAAGTCACCATACTTGGACCGCTGAAGAAGACAAGGCACTTATGGAGTGTCTTCTTGACATAGGTCCATCTTGGAAAGGAGATAATGGCTTTAAGGCAGGATTTGCTGTTCACCTAGAGAAACAGTTACAACAGAAGCTTCCCGGGTGTACATTAAAAGCCATCCCACATATAACATCCAGAATTAAACTTTGGAAAAGACACTACAGTGCTATATGTGAAATGACAAGTCTGAATGGTGGGTCTGGGTTCGGCTGGAACGATAAGGACAAGATGATTGTTGTGGAAAAGGGCATCTACAATGATTGGGTGAAGGTGCATGATATATTTTTACCTATGTTGATTTTTTTTTCCCTTACTTATTTACTACACTTTTGTTTTGTAGACTCACACGAATGCAAAAGGGCTTTACAATAAGCCATTTCCATATTATGAACAACTCGGGCCAATATTTGGCAAAGACGTAGCCACAAGAGTGAATGCTGAAGGGCCTGAAGATGCAATTGACGAAATGGAAAGAGAGGCTCCTGTGTTACCTGATACAGAGAGCATAAATGATGATTTCTTTGAGTATATGCAGGATCCGACACAAAACCCTATGTATGAACCAGAAATGCCTGACACTATTACCCAAGAGGGTGTGCAGAATTCTCTTGTTTCTAATTCTGTCCCTAAGAGGGGAAAGAAAAGAGCCAGGAGTGAAGATGCCCTAGTTGTAGTTGTGGCCGATGCAATGAAAGAGCTTACACAAGACTATAGAAACACCAATGACAATATCAAGGAACTGGTGAACTGTTTTAAACATGAATCAGAGGGAAGCACTAGGAAGATGTCAGTTATTGAAGAATTGTCAAAGATTGAAGGATTGTCTATGCAGCAACAGGTTAAACTTGCTACGATTATGGGAAAAGACAACTATTTAATTGATACTTTTATGCAAGGCACTGTAGCGGCGAGACAGTGTCTGGTAGCTCAACTTTTGGAAAATTGACAGCAGCTGTATGGCTGCATTTTTTGGTTGCACCCTTACTTAACACTGGATGTTTTGGTAACATGGCATTGCTTTTTCGTGTCAGGGTGCTTATCCTTCTAATGAAGCTTTTAATTAGTAATTTCCTATGATCTAATATGGTATGTTTTTTGCCTGGTACATGTCTTACACTAATTGGAGTGAATTTTCTACACTTTTGGACCTATCATGTTCACTTGCTGCACTCTATTTTGTGTTACTGTCATGGACGTCTGAACGAGTAATGAGCAGCATTGTAGTGAACATATGGTATTTGGGAATCAGTTCACATGTTGAACTTCACCTTCAAGGAGATTAAAGGGCATGGTGGAAGATGGATGACATGAACTTGTACAGGTATACTTTACTGTTGTGCTGATTGTGAACATACTATTTTACATATAATTAAGGTTTTTTAATGTAATTTATTTGCGTTTTAGAAATATTGACAGTTTACACTTCTTGTGGGTAAGCAGATTTCCATCCAAGAATCAAATTTGTCACTCAGCAGGAGTTTGTCAATTCTTAATGGCAACAGTGACAGTAGGACTCTCATCTTTTGAAGTGATGGTGATGGAAATGTTCTTGTCATGAATGGATAAACAATATGTATTCATAAGGATAACTTACAAATGTTAAGTGCCTTGTATTGTTAATAGACTACTGCCAGGAGATGATATTTTATCAATCACATATTTTGTATCGTGTAAGTTGAACTCAGTAAACAATATATATAATCTGGCACAATTGGAATGTTTGATATTTGAGTACAACTGAGGCTTCCTAATGATGCTTCCAGCAAGAATAGCTTTTAAAGCTCCTATTTAGTTACCAACTAAATCTGTAAATGTTCACACAAATCGTGTACATGTAAGGGTTTTAAATCCTGATAGATCCATAATAAGCCGATTTGAGCTATTTATGAAAGTTATTGGTTTAAATAATTAGACAGTATGTAACGAATACCTTATTTGCTAATTTAATCTGCTTGTGACGATTGCTTTAGATGAATCCGAAATTGAACTTATTTACTAATTTAATGAGTGAGATGTCTCTGCACATGTCTTTTGAGTGTGAGCCATGGTAAAGCTATAGACAATTAGCTGAGTGAACCCAACCTAATGATTATTAAGTGGGGTTCATACCTTTAGGCAGGTGTATTATTATAAATCAACCATACCCTCATTTACCAAGTTCATGAAAATTCTCTACGTATCAGTTTTCAATAAATTGACTAGCAGTAACCCTTAAACAGAGCTAGGATATTTAATATATTATATAACTAAAAGGGTTAAAATAAAAAATATATAACAAGCAAGTTTAAATATTTGAAACTCCCATTATTACAAATGTATATGTGTCCCCAGTATGAACCTGAACCAATATTGAGTTCACAAAGTTTCATAAAGACACACTCACGATAGCTGCCATGTGAGACCAATAAAGTGCAGAAACTCATTGGCTAATCTTTTACAAGCCTACTGCACCGCCATGCTGGAATTATAATAGTTTATTGATAGTTGCCCATTCCAAAGATGAATTGTCATGAATCTGCAAGGCTTTATTGAAGCCATTTTCTTCAGGCAATGGAGCTTTTACATGAGAGCCATTCAATTATTCCAACCGGCTTTTAAATTCAGGCTTCAAAGATTAAAGGTCATACAATACAACTCGCTACTCAAGTAATGGAAAAAGATGACAGAAAAGAACAACATGACCATATTAAAAGATAAAAAATAACCACACACACACACACAGAGGTTCTGTATTGTGTATAAGGGCACCAAGCCAACGTTGCAATCATGAAACATTCTAAAAGCCATGGTAATTAGTTTCTACAAACATTAACTTATTATAGTGGTACTTTTGGCATTGCCATGGATGCCATCTCTCCTGTAAAAAATTAAGCAAATAGTGGTTGTAGAATGAAAGATGTGAACACAAGAAATTCACATATTACAGTTATAATCTCATGAAAGTTTCAACTATGGCACTGCAACCATTGGATTCAAGGATAGGCCGTTCTTTATATACCACAAATTTGAAAGAAAAGGAAAAACGTTAAGTTAGTGCTATAATATATACCTTATCAGTTTCCAAATGAGCCTGAAAAAAATTCATTAGGCAGAAAATAATGATCAACCTATTCCAGCCACATCAATTACAAGTTAAACACAAGAGTAACACTTTATAATATAATTAATTCTGTATGAACTAGATACAAGTTAAACTCAAGAGTAGCACTTAATAACCACATACCAATCATGCATTGATCAATAATCACTATGCAGAAACAAAAAGATGACAGGAAGTTGGTATTCTCAAAGAGCATATATTACATAATATTTCAACATACGTATTTTAACTTACTAAGGTTCAACATAAATTACAACCCTACATACAAGTACAACTTGGTTATGCACAAAAAACCCTAAACCATTTCATTACAACGTGCCGCTACACTATTACATCTTGTACAATAAAATACCACATACAATTACGAGTACAATAACCCAAACCACCAGTGCTTTAATCAAATTATCCTTCTTTAAACAGCTAGAGCAGATGGGATCATCAACCCACTCAAAGAAATTGCATTTGTCACTTTGTTTGAAGTTTGCGCATCTATAGAACTTCCTTCCTGGATTTTTTGTTGTACGAGACTTCCGTAGCACAGCCCTCATTCCACAGTCACACATTTTGACATTTGATTCACATGAAGAGGAAGAATGCACAGAAAACACACTTTGACACCCACTTACGGTAGAGCGATCTCCACCCATGACACCTATGTTCTTATTCGTGATGGTTACAAACGATTAAATAGCCCCCTACAACAAAGAAATAAATCGATACATTTTATACACACATGACACTCCATAACATTCCACTACATCTGTATTCAAAGCCCTTTCAAACAACCAAACAACAGTGCATGTTTTCCCCCTAAACACACAACGATGAAAAGCAGAATGGAAACTACCAAAATAAAATGGTACACAATGGCCAGGTCATAAACCAGCCTACAAAAATTACTCACGACAACCTTCTTTTTCTGCAATAAACTATCCATTGACCAATGAATCAATCAATTGAAGCAAGCACAACTTTGCAACACCAGACAAAAAAAAAAAAAATTCAAGGGAGCCCCATCTCAACATTTCCACACCAATGTACAGGGGACCAACACATGAGAGATATACATTGCACAGAAAGGAGAGAGTATTGAAATAAAAATAAGAGTTAAAAACAAAAACCAAGACAAAGACCTGAACCACTTCTAGATGAAATGTCTTCGACGTTGGTTGTGGATGAACTTATAACAGTGTTCGCCTTTGCACTCTCTACTTCCCTCTCGTCTCAGTTCCGTCTCATCCGAAAGACACCCACGGTTGACGATAGTCACAACAAATCAGCTGAATCCTGCTTGTATTCCTTGTTGTGAGACCAGATTTAGCACATGGGATGTTGGGACAGATGTTGAAGAAACCCTATTTTCACTATTCTTCTTTCAACGGGTTTGGATGTAACATTACGTGTATCAATTTTGAAACTAAAAATATGTAGGGGTTATTTTTGTAATATAACATCGTATTCCCAGTAATATTCCATTCTAAACCAAATATAGAATCAGTAATCCTTACTCAATATTTCCGGTAAAATTTTGGCAAACCAAACAACTTTTTTATAACATTCCAGGTAAACTCAATTCCTACTGAATTCTCAGTAATTGTGATTCCCGGCACACAAAAAATTTCTCCTGTACCAAACACACCCCTAAGGACCAAGTCAACAAATCCCGAGATAGAAACTTGGGAGAGCCAAGGAGTGTTGAGTTGGGGTTTCGAACCTCTGGTATCAAGTCTGAAAAAAATGTCAAACTTATACCTAATCATTTGATACATAATTACACCTACAACTCAACACTTAAACACACTTTGGCGAGAAGGATGAACATCATACAATCATTACAGACCACACCAATTAGAATCAAGCATTCTTCTAACTTGACATTCCAACAATGCAAAGCACCAAGTTAAGGGACAACTGTTCTTGGCCAATATCTTGGGCCCAAGATATGACTAAAAGAGCATCATAACTACCAATGATCATATGCATGATTGCATTATGTCAGGATAATCACTAACTCCCTAATTTTAGCTAGGATTTTTTTTTCTGATCATAAGCATCTCATAATCTTACATCCACCTATAAATATAAGGATACATCCCTCAGGTACACGTCTTTTCCATGTTGAATATTTTTTCTCAATCACTCACTTATTTAAGTGTCAAAGTCCCTGTAGATGCAACACCAACATTCACCAATGGAGCACTCAGATGATTCGTCACTAATAATTAATAGCCGTAAAAAGACCCAGAGTAACTTTTTCAATTGATTCAAGTAATATTCTCTGAAAAATATATGTCTTTAGTATATAAAAAATTAAGATATCTTTGATATGATTGAAATTGTATTACGAGACACTAGAGAAGTACAATAAATATAAATTACAATATATAAATAACCCCATGTGAATAATATATTAAATAAATAAATATGTTTTAAAAATGAATTTTAATATTAAATGTAAATGATTGCATAAATGAAACAATCAAAATTTCAAATTAGTTGTTTTACCATTTCAATATGAACCAAAATTTGGTTCGAGAGTCCCAACAAGTCCTTAAATTGTCTCACGATGGCTAATTTATATAATATGTATTGTAAAGTAAGATATGATAATATAAATTATGATAAAATTTTAATACTATAGTATTTTTTAACATACTATAGCGTATTATAAAGGTCGTTTTATCATATATTTGGTAATATATTTTACAAAATATTTATTAGTGCCGATTTTATTGTCTATTATTTTAAATTTCCTATCCTTACTACTTTTTTCACTGTTAGATTGGATTCAAGTCAATGGCTGCAAATATTATAAAATTAAATAAATATAAATAGTGATATTGGAT